CAGCTTAGCCGCAAGAACACGGCTGACCACCCGGGACACTAGCACCCGCGAACCGGGAAGAACAGAACCGGATCAACGCAAAACGCGCTCCGGACCCAAACGCCGTGGCACGCAAACAACAGCGGAGGGCCGCCACTGAACACAAAAACGACACACCCCCGGCCCGACCAACGAAGCACCAACAAACCCTGGACCCCTCCAGAATGCAGCAGCCCCACCCCGCGCCAGAAAAGATGGAGACTGCTGCCATCAAACAACCAAAACGCTAAAACCGAAGGAGCAAGAAAACTCAGCGACTCGACCCCCAGAGGCAAAGGCCCAAAGGAGAGAGCCGACGAAAAAACACACCGGAACTGAAGGGGCACTACCAACCGAGGAGAAGACAGAGCACGCTGACCAGAGACCAGGATGGTGCAAGCGGCGCACGAACAGGCCGGAGGTGAAACGACGCACAAGACAGCTGACTAACGGTGCAGAAGCAACACCAAGACCGAAAGCAAGCTGAAGCGGCTCCGCCTGCGCCGCACGAAAAGAGGCGACAGTATGTGGCAAGACGACGGCCCCCAACCCCCACTAGAAAACCAAGCCGAGAGTAAACCAAGCGAACAAGAGTAACCACCTAAGAAGGGACAGGAAAAGGAAGGACCGCCAAAATACCCCATACTGCCGCCAAGAGAAGCACGCAGGTGGGACACCTACCACGAAGCCACCCGACCACCAACCGGAGGCGAGACCACGAGGCAGAACATAAGCAGCCCCGACAAGGCCCCCCCGAGCCCAGGAAAAGGCGGAGCCGCGAGAAGATCTCGGGCGCGACCACCGAAACCCAGGCGGCACAAGGAGATGGAACGTCTGCCGAACAGAAAAACTCCCCAAAGCATGCAAGCCCGCCAGGAGTTCAGAAACGACGGGTCCGACGCGAGACATCGCAAGACCCCCCCCCCCAAAAAAAAAAAAAAACCGGCAGGGCAAGCTAGGAAAACCAAAGAAGGCGGAAGGGTTGCCGCCAGAACAGGACCCGAACCAAGGGGTACCAACAACTGCAATAGACCGAGACAAAGAAGCACATCACAGGACACAGGCTGACCAACGCCTAAGAACACACGCAGAACATCCCTGCTGCAGAGGAGGCAGGAAGAAAGAGCAGAAGCACAAAAACCCCAGGAGAACAACCAGGGGTGGACAATCAGGCAGGGACAAAAACCCCCACGCAATCCCCAGGCACAAAACGGCAGCAAAGTGCCACTCCACAACCGGACACAGGGACAAGGACACGCCACCGTGAAACACGGTACCAATGCACACGTGCAGCAGCAGCAACAGGCACCACTGCAACATGCAACATGTAAATAGCAACTCCCCTCTGCAAAGGCAGAGAACGGAGCAGGCAGACCCCAGACAGGTCCAACGGAGACATGACAAAACCCTGCAGGCCCAGAAACCTGCACCAGGTGACCGACGGCGGAGAAACCCCGCTCGATACCTGCTGGATGAGGTACTGGGAGCTCTTTTACACCTGAAGCCCGGCCCAAGGTCAGGCCAGACCAGCCAGAGGATGGCTCACCAGGCAGCTGCTAGGAGCAGTCCACCGGCCCACATACCCCCACAACCAGGATGGGCCGGAACTGCCATACGAAAACAGTCCAGTGCGCCCTGGAAGTCCACGGACGAACCAGCAAGAAGGCTTATGCTCGCAAGTAGGTCGTGTAACAAGCACAGACCACTGATGGTAATACAGTGTTCCCCAAAAGTGCCAACAGCACCACTGCACTCCACTGGTACTATCCCGCAAGTTCTACCAGATAGGCGGGACCCAAGAGCCAGAGCTCAAATCCTGCAAGCACAGCCAGGAGCCTTACCAGGTGAGTACAGAACCAACCCTACAACCCCCACACCTCACAACATTAAAAAAGGAGGGTCCCCTGAATGACTCCAGCATGGGTTGGACATGCACATGAGGGGGACAGGAAGGGGTGATAAAGGGACAGTCACTGGTGTGCGAACGGTCTCAGTCGTACAAAAATATACCTAAATAAAGACAGGTATATAAACACCGCCGCATCCAGCGCCCGGCCAAAAGACGCCAGACCGCAGAAACTCACCTGGCGAATGGTGGCACGAACTTGACACGACTCAACCGTGCCCAGAAGAACTTGGGAGCACCGCCAGGTGAAGACGCCAGAGCCGGACCCTGCCGGACCCGCAGGAGAGCAGGGAGAGGCGAAGGAGGCGGTCCACACCCATGACACAGGGAAAACCGCGGTGTCCTCCCCACAACTGGGAACCAGGACACCCCCGGCGCGAAGGGGCACATACCGCAGCCAGGGAGAAGAACGAGAGGCGAAGCACTGTAGCAAAAAAGGGCGCAAAACCCCAGCACTGAAACACCGCCCAGACCAAAACAAACTCCACGGCGCATGCGCATAACACGCTGGCCGAACCGCACACCCTCCCTGCGGGAAGGCGCCAGCCAGGACTACTGCACGAGAAAAGTAGCCAAAAGAGGAAGCAGGAACAATAAAACCGGCCAAAGAAGCAAAGAGCCCAAAAAGGAACCCAACCGGGCGACAAGTAGCCCAACCGGGCGACAAGCAGCCCAACCGGGCGACAAGCAGCCCAACCGGGCGACAAGAACCGGGCGACAAGCAGCCCAACCGGGCGACAAGCAGCCCAACCGGGCGACAAGTAGCCCAACCGGGCGACAAGTAGCCCAACCGGGCGACAAGCAGCCCAACCGGGCGACAAGTAGCCCAACCGGGCGACAAGTAGCCCAACAGGGCGACAAGTAGCCCAACAGGGCGACAAGTAGCCCAACAGGGCGACAAGTAGCCCAACAGGGCAAGTAGCCCAACAGGGCGACAAGTAGCCCAACAGGGGGACAAGTAGCCCAACAGGGCGACAAGTAGCCCAACAGGGCGACAAGTACGAGGAGCCGACAGACGTTCCAATAATGCGGGAAGTAGCGAAAAACCTTCGCGTACCCTCGAGAACACAGAAGCCAACACTAGTCCCGAAGGCACACAAAGGCGCAGGCGCACCCGAGATCAGAAGTCACGCAGAACCCCATCGAACGGGGAAACATGACAAAAACACCGTCCCAAAAAGGGGGGGGAGGAAACATCCACCCACAGGACGGAACCAACCGACTCAAAGGCCAAGGAACCGAGCCCGGGGAGGGGCCGACGACCAACAGCACGTACGGCGAGAGGGAAGGAAAGACCCCACTCCGCGTAACCACAAGCCCCGCCTAGAGGGGGATAAAAACCCCCACGGGGTCTAACGGGGCCAAGGCCCCCCCAAGTCAGCCCCTCCCCAGCCCCGGGAACCTACACGACAGGCCCCGGGGCCGAGCCGTTCCCCCAAAGCCCCGGCCGTACCAGAAAACCGGGGCAGCCGTGAAAACACTAAGGAAGGGAGCCCACTGGCAGACTCATACAACACGGCTGGAGGAACAGGCCCAAATGCCCCCGTCACTACCCCGGAAGGGGAATTCCCCGAGACTGCCCGAGTCTCAACACCACCAAAAACCCCGCCCCGAACCTACAGACGGTAAGGAACCGGATGCAGGCAGGAAGGGTGAACCAGGGGAAAGACAAGGGGGCGTGGATGGAACCGAAGCAACCAACACCCCCAAGTCCCAAAACGAACTACAACGGGGCAGCCCCGGGGCTCCCGGGGAGGAAACCACGAGAACGTTGCCACCACCAAGGCTCAAGTGCAACGCCCCTGCTGCCCGCACCCGCTTTGTTAGCACAACTGGGTAACCGAGCCACAACGAGCAACCAAACTCGCAGGACTCCGGGTCGAAGGTGTCACCGACCCCACAGGCAGCAGACGGAGGCAAAACAGAGAGTCACCCAGAGACAAAAGGTGAGAGCAACCCTCAAACTCGCTGGAAGCGAGGGGGGGACTCTGGGGTCACATCCATCGGACCCGCGCGCCCCCAGGGGTTTCCCAGGGTCCCGAGCGTTTACTTTAAGAGGACTCGCGCTCAGGTAATCCCAGGCAGGGTACTGCTAACCGGCACCCAAAGCTACCAAACAACTTTCTAAGAGCTGAACCCCCGGGACGTGTACACTCACGGGGACCTAGCAGGGGTACCACCAGAAAATACTCAGAACACAAGGGACACAAGGGGCAAGAACGAAGGCAGACCCCCCCACCAGGTAGATAAACAAAAAGAAAAAGAAAACCCCGCAAGAGGACAGCGTACCCAAGCGGAACAGAGCCGGCCGCTATGATTGGTAAAGACAAGCTGCACAGTACCCCGCGCCCCACCAGTGCAAACACTGCCCCTTACTCTAAGGCGAACAAGGGAGACAGAACACCCGAGCACACAAAGAGCGGCCGAAAACCAAGCAGTAAACGGCCAAGCAGGGGCAGGACCCAAGGAACTTGTGGAAGGTGGCCCCAAGCCCCAAGGGCAGTACTTACAGGGCACCTAGGGAAGGGATCCCTAGGCGCATGCAGCCCGAGTACTGAAGAATCACTCCCGGCTCACGCACCACCTAGAAAACAGACACCACACTCTAGGTACAGTGCTGAAACAACCACTGGAGCCGGAGCACATAACCATTGCCTATAGCATCAGCCGAAGAACTGATGGGTGGATAGCCGGCGTGGGAGGTCTGGGGCTCCCCCTTCCCCCTCCCGGGGAGGGGGGAGCTGCGCAGACAGCGGCGCGGTGACGTATGACGTCATACTAGTTTCCTTGTTTTCTGTTGAAGAGTTCTATCCACTAGTTTGGCTTAGGTAGCAATTTTCACCAGAATAGGGGTTTGTTTTGGAATGCTTACCTTTCTGGATGCTTGACCCGGTCGATGGCAGACATAGAATGCTTCCAACCACACGGGGGTTTCTATAGGCCATTGCTCCCCTTGCCTCTCTGAGGGGGACAGGTTCTGGCTCGTGGTCCCCGGTAGGCCATAGAACTCCATACACATGACTGATGCCAAAGTCTGACATTAGCATATCAGCCGGTAAAGCTCCGGGGAGCCGACGGGGCTCCCCCCAGAAAAGCAAGTTTGAAGTCTATGTGGTTGTCTCTGTTTTCATCAAAGGCATTGAATACTCCTTTTGCCAGCATTGGAGGAAGTGGAGGAGAAATCATGGGGACCAAAGTGTCTGGATCAAGTTTTCCTGTTGGTGAAGAGCCCTTCAAATACCAGTATCGTTTTTCAAGTTCCAAGATATCTGTCTCTTCCACTGCAATAATTACCAATAATTAGAGCAATATATTAAAAAAAGGAATATGTTTGCATTAATTACATATTTGAAAAGTTAACATTTGTCAGTCATTCTAGACTGGAGTTAGTTTTGTGCAGTGATTCTCTGTCACCCATTATGACCACACACACATGACTGAAGAACCCCTAAGATGCTTCTGCCAGAATATAGTTCTGCCTCACTATTCATAATTTCTGTCATATGACCAGCAAATCTTTAAGGAAACAAGCAAAGAGTAATAACTCAGAAAAACAGCTTAGAAATGACAAATCCATTTAAAATATCATAAATATTATAAGAAAAAAATTAACAAGATTCCAAAACAATAAAAATTATGCGATCATGTTAAAGGAGAAAGAGTTTCTCAAGGTGTGTGAAGTGAGTGTAGAGAGAGGCATCTTGATCTTACAGTGGGTGACACCAGCTAGTGTTTGATAGAAGGTTGGAGTTTCTAGGTCGTTGGAGAGTGACACATGGCAAGGCTCAGCCAACAGCCAGCATGTCACTGTTGTGGCATCAGGGTGTATTAACAACCACTCTTTGAAATCTTCATAGGAAATGCGTTCACTCTGTGGCAAAATAACATTTAAAAATCAATTAGATTTACAATTACAATATACTGTAATTACAGATTTTGTACACTAAAATAACATCTATATTAAATAATACAACTAGATTTTTAACTTAACAAATATGCAATATGCAGGTTACTCCTAGGCAGTGTTTCACTTGCTCAATATTCTTCTAGATTTCACATATCTACAAATCAAATTCGAAAATTTGTTTTGCTATCTTCTCCATAATTTATTACCTTGTCTCACCCTTTTACACCATTCCTTCACTGCTTTTTTTAATATTATAAATCTGCACAAATGTAATCTTTTATCTTTATTAGAACAAGTGTTAAAATATTATTAAACATTTCCAGCTGTGCTTTTTTGTTTCACAGCTTACATTCATATGTCTCACAAGGCTTTATTAATACTGCTTCTCATTACTACAGTATTTTATCATAATTATACATTTTTACTGCACTATTTGAATCCCCTCAAGCATATTTTTCCATGATTGGCTTTCTAATTTCTAATTTCCTCATTCCATAATTTCCTCATTTCCTTTCTAATTTCCTCATTCCAAACTAGTCATCCTCCATATGAGCTCTATTTCTTTTTCATTTTCCTTCCTACCACTTATCATTGTCTACTATTCCCCTTCTCTTTTCCAACATATAATAGATTTTCATTAGTTCTCCCCATTTTACTTTATTCTCCCCTTCCTTAATTTTTCAAAGAATTGAAAGTCTAATACAGTACTATGTTGAATGGCTACAGCCTTTAATATTGTTTGCAAAGAAAATGTATTACTTTCTCACCTGACCAAAACACTTGTGCAGTATCTCTGGTGTGTAGCCCCCCTCTGTAGCTTGTAGCTGCCGGAGCATTTCACTTCTTATAACATGAGTTCCGGTTTCACTGGCATACACTCCATAAATAACTGAAAAAACCAGCGTTGAATGTAAGGAAACGCCATTTTCTGGGTTTGAATAATACAGTAATGTATATACTACACAAGAGCAGGAAAATTGTGCCAAAATTAAATTATTGAAAATTATTCAATTATGAAAGTGAACTATATGGCATTACAGTACTTCAGAAAACTCTGAACAAAACTCACATTTGATCTTTTCTTCTTTATTTCCACGTGTTAAGAGCACCAGGCTGCATAACAGATCCTTAAATGTAATACCCTTCGTTGTTCCTCCACATGCCAAAAATATCAGCTGTAATTGAAGATGAATATCCTTAGAAATTGCAGCACTACTGTAGACATGAAACACAGACTTCCATGACATTAATATTATAAAGGTTTGACTATATTTTACATGTAACTTAAAAAAACAAACAGGATCTCTATATATTTATTGTCATTATGTCTCACCAGCTACATACCGTAATTCACTTTTTATAAAACATCTTATTTTCCTTTTATTGCAAAACATTTAGCCAAAATAACTGAAAATAAGTTCTTTCCTGTGATGGTACTTTTCCAAGTCCTTAGTCAACCAAATATGGCTAAAGTACTTATTAAATACTCACCCAAACACTACTGAAGAGGTTTAACAAGTTATTTCATGAAAACTTGAATTATAAATGTAACAATTGTATACAGTGGAACCTGGAGTGACGAGCGGCTTTATCTACGAGCATTTCGAGTAACGGACGAGCTACTTGCCAAAAATTTGTCTCTACTGACGAGCTTTCGCTCTATTAACGAGTAAGCCACATGGTGCTTCCTAGCGTTCTCGCTGGTTGTATGGTGCCCATATCTTAAGAAGCACATCAGCAAACTGGAAAAGGTGCAAAGACGTGCCAGTAAGTGGCTCCCAGAACTGAACGACAAGAGCTACGAGGAGACGTTAGAAACATTAAATATGCCGAAACTAGAAGACAGAAGAAAAAAAATAGGCGATATGATCACTATGTACAAAATAGTAACAGGAATCGGTAAAATTGATAGTGAAGAATTCCCGAGACCTGGAACTTCAAGAACAAGAAGTCACAGATTTAAACTAACTAAACAAAGCTGCCGAAGAAATATAAGAAAATTCCCTTTCGCAAACTGAGTGGTAGACGGTTGGAATAAGTTAGGCGAGAAGGTGGTGGAGCCTAAAAGCATCAGTAATTTCAAAGCGTCATATGACAGAGTGCTGGGAAGACGGGACACCTCGAGCTGAGGTGTCACGTCAATATTGGATCAAGGTCAATGAAAATATCCCAACCTTATTTGCTTCTTGGCTTGGATGACTGCTAATTCATTTCATACATTTGTGGTAAGTTTAAGGCAGACAGTGCTATAATTTTGATGCAGAAATATGACATGCCACACCTGAATTATGTACAGTAATGTATATTCTCCATGAAAAACTATGAAAGTTAAGACTTATGGGTTATTAAAGTATGTATACATTTTTGACATCCTTTATAAGTTAGGTTGATGGAGGGGAACTAATTTTATTACTAATTAACACTTAATCACCTAATGTGATATAACCCCATCGTTGCATGTAATGAGATGCCTCTTTCTGGAGTAGCCTATGTGGCTTTCTGAAGGTATCTTACCATGATTACTCCATCTAAAACAATTCACATCAGTTACAGAAGTTGTTTGGCTTACTGACAACCAGAGCTAGAACCTAGCCCTCCTCACAGAAGCATAGGGAGAGAGTGACAATTCACCACCCCTCTGAAAAAAAGCCTCCAGTAAGAAAGTGAAGCTTTCCAGACAACTAGAAGGTTCACAGAAAATGAAGGCTTGAAACTGCTAAACAATAAAGTAAACGATTCACACAACGAAGGATTCACTAACAAGTCAAAACTTGTTAGTATTTATCACCAGCACCAGGCTGCCCAGCCACAGCCAGCCCCCGACCAGCCAGTTCTGATGTACAATCCCTCAACGAACCTGAGAGGAAACAGTGAATCAGGGAGCCACAGGGGCTCCTCCAGAAAGAGGGGTTTCATTAAGAGTCCAGAAGTACAGTCGAGGTTTGTTTTCGAACCACAATCGAGAATTCCGGGTTTGATTCCCGGGAGGGACAGAAATGGTTAGGCACGCTTCTTATCACCTAATGATCCTGTCCGCCTAGTAATAAATAAGTACCCAGGCACATAATGTATAGGTAAAAGGGTATAGGTACCCTTTTCTAGAATTTCCATACATTTTGAGATGTTCTTCTGAAGGAAGGGTCAAATTCACTCAGCATCTCAAGTATACCTAAATAGTTGCCATTTTTTGGTGACACAATAATCTGATTTTCTCCACGAAATGGCAAACCTCTAGAGGCAAGAAAGCAAATTACAGAAACCACACGTGTCAACTCTTTATGCCAATATTGTTTTGCGTGAATTGTTTGTAGAGTTATTTGGCAGATTTGAGTTTTTATTTTCTGTGAACTTTCCAATTGTCTGTAAGGCTTTGCTGACTTTCTGGAGGCTTTTTGCAGTAGGGTGGTGAATTGTCACGTGCTCCCTGCACCTGTAACGGGGCCAGGTACTGGCTCTGGTGTCCAGTAGGCAAAACAGAACCTCCATGACTGATGTGACTTTTAGTATGAAGTAATCTCAGCAAGATAGCTTCAGGGAGCCATTGGGTGCCCCATCCCCCCTGAAAAAGATAATAAAAATACATAAATAAAATACATGGATTACAACATCAAATTTATTTACCTCTGCTAACTGTAAGGGAACTCCTTCTCCCAGAACTTCTCTAATGAAAGCCTGCTTAGTGATGGCTCCATTAAGAGTTGCAGTTCTTTTGTATGCATCTTTCAGGCGTGCAAATTCTGCATCACTGACTGGAAACAGGAAGAATTTTTAGAACTTGTATATCCCATTAACATTTTACTCAATATGCAAATATTCTAGAAAACTACTGAACAATAATTCTTGATTAACATTGATCTAAAAAGATTTTTTTAAATTAATATAAATATTAATAAATATAAATATATTTTTATAAATTTATATATTCATATAAATATAAATATTAATATTATCTACAGGTCTGCCTTGACAAAGTTTAAAATTTGCCAAAATTTAATGCTTTGTGGATAACAATTGCAAATTGCCTAAACATTATGCTACTATGCTCAATATGGGAAAAAATACTTAAACAGCACTTTTCAAATACAGAGGAACCTCGATACTCGAATGGCTCCCAACTCGAACAATTCAGTACTTAAAGCCTGTGTTTATGCTCGGTAGTCGACTGCTTGCTCAGCATTCAAACATAAACACGTGTAACGGATGAATCAGTTTGCCAGTAGCTGTCATTCAGTGCACAACACAGCTAAACTTCTCTAAACTTCATGTTTTCTTGGATATTTTTTATATTCTTAGCATAAAATAGTCACCATGGCACCTAAGAAAGTTAGTGATAAGAGCCAAATGAAAAGAAACTAAAATTTATTTTAATTAAAAAACAAAGGTCAATTTATAAGGTAAGAGAGTGAGATGAAATGATGAAATATAAGAATAAGGTTGAAGTACAGGAATAAGATTGACGTACAGGAATAAGGTTGAATTATATTAATAAAGAAAACTGCAGAAGGTCAAATGGCAAAAAGAGAACAAGATGAAATGGAGCCAGATAGTAACATAAGAGAAAGAAAGAAAAAAAAAGAGAGCCTAGAGGGGCTAAAGCTAAGGTAGATCATGTATGTTAAAATAGGATTGGACGGGGGGAAGGAATGGTGCCCAATCACTTGGATGGTCAGGGATTGAACGCCGACCTGCACGAAACGATATTGTCACTCTACCGTCCAGTCAAAGTGGCTGGATGGGACCTCTGGTTGTAAACTCGCTATTCTGACCACAGTATAAATATAAAATGTGATCTTGTACCCAAGTTATGGCTTGTGGTTACATATACTGGCCAGTGGTAAGCTCAAGTGTTGGGTTCTAAGTTCACGATTAAGTCGACTATATTTTATACTTTACTGCATAGGACTAAGGCATCATCCTAGGAGAATTAAGTGTTCTCTTCATATGGGTCTAAGGAGAAGCATATTACCTCAACACCACGGCCAGTCACAGTGTAATGTACCCCACAGGTGCAAATAATAATTAAATTATTATTATAACTAATCAGTGAACAAAAAATAAGGAGGAATTTGGTGCTCTAAAAAAATCCTACTTGTTGGATGATAATTTTATCGTCTACTTTTCCGACAGTGGAGTTAATGATTATAAACTTATGAGTCCTAATTGGATGGTGGAAGTGCCTGAGTTATGAGAGCAGTTGTGGGTCACATGAGGCATGCTTGGCACTTTAATAAGTCCTGTGTGGCACTCCTTCATATCTGCTCACAACACTTGCACGGCTCTTACCTCTTTTTATTGCCTCCTCGTAGGAGAGAGAGATGGGTTTACTTTCTTTTCCACCCATTTCGACATTGCAGTAGCGTTGGGTATGAGTAGTGAGGCGTGAGGTGTTAAGGGAGAGTGCACATGACAGTATTACCCTGCGCAGTTACTCTCCTGATTACTTTCCCTGTTTACGTGAAGGCAGGAGACTGGCCCTCCCCGCCCCGCTCCCTACACCTTCACTAATACAACATTACTAATTGCCCGCCCTCTTTACCTACTACCCGTAGTAATAACATTTACCATTTTATATCACATTTATTAATCATTCCTTATAAACTTGATTCTCGGAAAACTGGACCCGTGAGATTGGGGTCACTATTTTTTATAAAATATCAGCTTTTGGTATAATTCCAGAGAATATAAATAGTAATATAAATTCTAAGATAATAATGGGACTAAATAATTAAATACAACTTCTATCTGCAATTTCTTAGTTATTAGTGTCAAAAGTTTTATTTCATGAAAATTGAAGGGACCACCAAGACTGACAAGTGTTGTCGAATCTTTTACCAATACCTGACGAGCTGCAATGTTTTGTTCTAGTCTATTTCCATAAACACACACATTGAAGGTAATAACATACACAATACAGTTGAAATAAATATAAAATTATAACATTACAAAATTAGAGTCTTGCACGCAACTTTAATATAAAAACAGCATAAATTACTGGGCGCCTCATGCTGGCACTCAACACAGCATCGTCTGCTACGATAGAATACAAGTCACATCGTACACATGACGATTGGAAACCTAACTTAAGCTAGCTCAACCTAACCTAATCTTACCCAACCCAACTCAACCTAACCTAACCCAACCGAGTGAAATACAATCTAACCTAAGCTAATACAGACTAGCACATCTCAGCGACCGTCAGTATCATAGATACTGACGGTCGCCAGTATCGTAGATACTGGCGGTTGCTGTGCGAAAATGGGTAGGACCCATACTCCTTCAACACAAAATGGGTATGGGATGCATAATAAATGAACTAAACTAAAACCTCAGCACCTTTTATCTCCACTGCAGAGCCAATCTGCTGAAGATACTGCAAACCGACATGTCATTCTGAGCTTGCTCGGTCGTCAATCAAAAACGATTGTCTTCTTTGCTGGATCAATAGATATTCCTGAGTGTATGAAGTAATTATAGATAACTTAACATAGAGTTATTAGACCGGTAGTTTTTGCTGAGCTCTTTCTGCCTTTTTTGAAAATAGGGGTGACATTTGTATATTTCTTGTAACGAAAGAGTATGTTACGTTGTTGGATAGATTAATTCAAATCTTCCTAGATTGCTTGCTAAATTGCTTCCAAATCTTATTTGGAAGCAAATCTACAAATGAAATTCAGCTTCAGATAGACAATGTAAACATTAGTAATAAAAATGATGGAAAATTTCTTGGCCTATTACTAGACAAGAGACTCAACTTCAGCACCCACATGCAACACATAGCTAAGAAAGTCTCTAAAACAGTTGGTATACTCTCCAAAATCAGATATTATGTATCTAACTCTTCTCTCATCTCTCTATATTATGCACTGTATATGCTCCTACCCTATTCTGTATGAAAGATTACACAGTGTAAATAAAAAAAAACTAGCTATAAGTTCATCTAATATTCCCATCTCACAGGATGGTAAGTCATAAATGGCATCAGGGGAGCATATACCAACCTCAATACAAAAACAAATCAACTCAAATCAGGAGAGAATATAAAATGTAAGGCTGATCTATTATTAGCCTCCACTAGCAAAATCTGGGTACAACACAAGAATATCTTCCAATATTCGTAAGTTCATGGAGACTGTGCTTGGAAGTTAAGAACTTTTATGGATGAGACAGCTTTATTTAACCCATAGAGCAAAAGACAGCATCTTGTGCTGCCTACATCTTTTCAAAGCGTTATATGACAAAGAGTACCGGGAAGACGGGACACCACGAGCGTACCTTTCATCCTGTAACTACACTTAGCTATACTTAGGTATCCTGTAACTACACTTAGCTATACTTAGGTATCCTGTAACTACACTTAAGTAATTACATGTTTCAATGTTCAGGTTATTGACCTTGAAAGTTAGAGAGGCACTGCTTCTTTTTTGGGGATGAAGAGCTCCGGATTCAGTTATAGAGATACCACATTCAATACTTGGAAAAATGGAATGGAATAAGGAATTCAACGGAAACATGTCCATTACCCGAAAAAACCTGTGCGTATTAGTGGCTTTAGGCATTGTATGTACTAGCTCTATCTATAAATCCAACATTATGTTTGTAACTCATCTTCTATGTATGTACTTTTACCTGAATAAACATTTTGAGTGTTTTTTGTTTTTTTTTACTTTATAGGCAAAATTCTTGAAAATTTGTTATAGGTTATCAAAGAAGTTAGAAATAGAAAACGAATTAAACAGTTATGTATAAGAAAACGATCCTTCAAGCCCATATAGAATTGACAAACTATTTTAAACTCTCACATGCTTCCTAACTTATACGTTTATTAAATAATTTGGGGACTATGTTAGCTTCCGGAGAATTTGAGCAAATATATGAAAAACGCTGGCTCAAGATTACTTACAAACAATCTAAAGGACAAGAATTTTAGATTTCCCTGATTTTTTTACATAAGATTGTGCTGATAGCAAGATACGAGTGATAAGGTGAAGAGTAGTGATAAACTTTATTTACACAATCTGAATAGTTTCGATATAAATACTAAACACTAAACATATCGTGTGATGGTGACTACTCACGGCACTTAGATAACTTATCTAGATATTACCGTCCTTAGCGGAGAGGAGAGACGCTCCATGGTTGATGTGCGCTACTCTACTTCCCACAAAATACATACACAACACATACAGAAATCACAATAGCGTGATATATCAAATTAATAAATCCACAAGGGCCGTGAGAAAGGTTCGAACTTACGTCCAGGATGATTGAACCGAACCCTTATTGATACTGCCCTCATCATGAACCGAACCGTGATGTTCGAACCCTCATCACGGCCCTTGTAGATATATACACACACAACACTTAGATCTGAAGATTGACACATCAAAAAAGAGGTGTGACACGTGACTATCTGACACGTGACACCGGACACATGTTTCCTTTACACGGACAGAACAATACCCATGTTTGTTCCATCCAAAATAAGCACAATTATGGAACTAGTTTTGGTATCTCTCCCCCATCATCTTCTTCCTGAAAATAACAAACTGCAGGTCAACAATATTATGGAGTGGGGCTCTATGTGAGCAACTCTATCTTCAATGTATTTGTATTTAATCTATATGCTCCAGCTGGAAAGTTAAATTATATTGAACTGTCAGCCTGCGCTCAGGCAGAGTCCACCATCATTCTTGGTGACCACAATGCTAGACACAAGGACGTTGGTGACTCTCGCTTTAGTAGCGGGAATCAACTGCTCTCGCTACTAAACAGTCACCAAGATGTGCAGATTGTGGGCCATAAACTAGGGCCCTTTATTTGCATAGTGAGTTAGCACAGATTTAGTTTGACTCTGGGGATATCATAGAGGTACAGTATTTATTTCTGGTGTGGTGATTATGGGTTCTATTATATCTGTCAAGGAAGAGTTTCAGATCAAGATTTGCATTTAGGCACAAGGTTTTGTACATATAAATGTCACAAGAGAATGTGTGGAGTGAGTTTATGTTTAGCATGTTTAGGGATTTAAACATGGGTGGGGGGGGGGGTGCTGAGTGTTGTCTGAAAGCAGAGTTTGTCATAGTTCTGATAGCAGATTGTTGCTGGGTGATGATGGGCTTGAGGTAGTTTATAGATAGAAGATGAGTGGCGCGGCCCAGTAAACTCGCTCCTCGGGGCAAACTATAACAATTTAAAAAGAAGACTTGTGTGGGGGGGGGGGACGGCCGGGTGTAGGAAAATGGGGGAGTGGGGGGTGGAGGAGGGGAGAGGAGCAAGGAAGGGCACAGAGGGGAGGGAGAGTGGTGGGGGCGAGAGGTGTGGGTGGCGTGGAGTTGTTTGAGGAGTGGCCACCCCGGAACACCAGGAGGGAGGCTAATGGCTGGTGTCAACACCACCAGCCACACCGCCCCTCCTCTCTGGCGAGCACCGGGGGGGGGGGCGCACTACAGGAAGGGGGTGGTAAGACAAAATAGGGAAGGAGCTATGCGCTACGGCCGTAATTTGAAAATAAATTTTGGATTTTTTGTTTTCCAAACCAAGAAGTTAAGGGTCTCTGGTAGGTTAGGAGGGCAGGAAGTTCTCCAAAGGTTTAAAAAAGTCATGAAAACGGTTAATTGAAAATTTCCTCTCCTAACCAGAGGACCCGAAACAGAAAACGGAACAGTACGTCACTTTTTCAAGCCGATTCCATTTTCAATTACGTCCTTTTTTAGCCTGAGTGCGCATACCAGCGAAAAGCGACGTAATTTGAACAAGGACTGGTTGAATATCCTATACGGGCCTCTCTTTACTCTTTTGTTTTACCACCCCCTTCCTGTAGAGCGCCCCCATCCCCCCCCCCCTTGGTGCTCGCCAGAGAGGAGGGGTGCTGTGGGTGGTGGTGTTGAGCCATTAGCCTCCCTCCTGGTGTTCCGGGGTGGCCACTCCTTAGTGGCGCAGTTGTAAAGCACTCGCCCGGGGCTTTGGCCGGGGTTCGTATCCTGGCTGGGCAGGATTGACTGGGCGTCAATCCTTAACTACAGCCTCTGTGCACCCAGCAGTGAATTGGTACCTGCTTGTTAAACGATTTGGCGGGTTTTATATATTATATTATATATAATATTCAGTTGCATATATGCCTGGGCACCATTCAGGCTAGTTCGCATATTACACACACACATATATATATATATATATATATATATGCAAACAAGCCTGAATGGTCCCAAGGACTATATACAACTGAAAACTCACACCCCAGAAGTGACTCGAACCCATACTCCCACAACTGGTATGTACAGGGACGCCTTAATCCGCTTGACCATCACGACCGGACAAAAGGAAGTGATAGCCGAAGCTATATGAACCACTTCCCCGCCGGCACTCGGATGGTAATCTTGGGCATAGCATTTTATCAAATCACCTCATTCTTTGGGGCACACGTGAGGAACACAAATGCAAACAAGCCTGAATGGTCCCAAGGACTATATACAACTGAAAACTCACACCCCAGAAGTGACTCGAACCCATACTCCCACAACTGGTATGTACAGGGACGCCTTAATCCGCTTGACCATCACGACCGGACAAAAGGAAGTGATAGCCGAAGCTATATGAACCACTTCCCCGCCGGCACTCGGATGGTAATCTTGGGCATAGCATTTTATCAAATCACCTCATTCTTTGGGGCACACGTGAGGAACACAAATGCAAACAAGCCTGAATGGTCCCCAGGACTATATACAACTGAAAACTCACACCCCAGAAGTGACTCGAACCCATACTCCCACAACTGGTATGTACAGGGACGCCTTAATCCGCTTGACCATCACGACCGGACAAAAGGAAGTGATAGCCGAAGCTATATGAACCACTTCCCCGCCGGCACTCGGATGGTAATCTTGTGCATAGCATTTTATCAAATCACCTCATTCTTTGGGGCACACGTGAGGAACACAAATGCAAACAAGCCTGAATGGTCCCCAGGACTATATACAACTGAAAACTCACACCCCAGAAGTGACTCGAACCCATACTCCCACAACTGGTATGTACAGGGACGCCTTAATCCGCTTGACCATCAACGACCGGACAAAAGGAAGTGATAGCCGAAGCTATATGAACCACTTCCCCGCCGGCACTCGGATGGTAATCTTGGGCATAGCATTTTATCAAATCACCTCATTCTTTGGGGCACACGTGAGAAACACAAATGCAAACAAGCCTGAATGGTCCCCAGGACTATATACAACTGAAAACTCACACCCCAGAAGTGACTCGAACCCATACTCCCACAACTGGTATGTACAGGGACGCCTTAATCCGCTTGACCATCACGACCGGACAAAAGGAAGTGATAGCCGAAGCTATATGAACCACTTCCCCGCCGGCACTCGGATGGTAATCTTGGGCATAGCATTTTATCAAATCACCTCATTCTTTGGGGCACACGTGAGGAACACAAATGCAAACAAGCCTGAATGGTCCCCAGGACTATATACAACTGAAAACTCACACCCCAGAAGTGACTCGAACCCATACTCCCACAACTGGTATGTACAGGGACGCCTTAATCCGCTTGACCATCACGACCGGACAAAAGGAAGTGATAGCCGAAGCTATATGAACCACTTCCCCGCCGGCACTCGGATGGTAATCTTGGGCATAGCATTTTATCAAATCACCTCATTCTTTGGGGCACACGTGAGGAACACAAATGCAAACAAGCCTGAATGGTCCCCAGGACTATATACAACTGAAAACTCACACCCCAGAAGTGACTCGAACCCATACTCCCACAACTGGTATGTACAGGGACGCCTTAATCATACCAGTTGTGGGAGTATGGGTTCGAGTCACTTCTGGGGTGTGAGTTTTCAGTTGTATATAGTCCTGGGGACCATTCAGGCTTGTTTGCATTTGTGTTCCTCACGTGTGCCCCAAAGAATGAGGTGATTTGATAAAATGCTATGCCCAAGATTACCATCCGAGTGCCGGCGGGGAAGTGGTTCATATAGCTTCGGCTATCACTTCCTTTTGTCCGGTCGTGATGGTCAAGCGGATTAAGGCGTCCCTGTACATACCAGTTGTGGGAGTATGGGTTCGAGTCACTTCTGGGGTGTGAGTTTTCAGTTGTATATAGTCCTGGGGACCATTCAGGCTTGTTTGCATTTGTGTTCCTCACGTGTGCCCCAAAGAATGAGGTGATTTGATAAAATGCTATGCCCAAGATTACCATCCGAGTGCCGGCGGGGAAGTGGTTCATATAGCTTCGGCTATCACTTCCTTTTGTCCGGTCGTGATGGTCAAGCGGATTAAGGCGTCCCTGTACATACCAGTTGTGGGAGTATGGGTTCGAGTCACTTCTGGGGTGTGAGTTTTCAGTTGTATATAGTCCTGGGGACCATTCAGGCTTGTTTGCATTTGTGTTCCTCACGTGTGCCCCAAAGAATGAGGTGATTTGATAAAATGCTATGCCCAAGATTACCATCCGAGTGCCGGCGGGGAAGTGGTTCATATAGCTTCGGCTATCACTTCCTTTTGTCCGGTCGTGATGGTCAAGCGGATTAAGGCGTCCCTGTACATACCAGTTGTGGGAGTATGGGTTCGAGTCACTTCTGGGGTGTGAGTTTTCAGTTGTATATAGTCCTGGGGACCATTCAGGCTTGTTTGCATTTGTGTTCCTCACGTGTGCCCCAAAGAATGAGGTGATTTGATAAAATGCTATGCCCAAGATTACCATCCGAGTGCCGGCGGGGAAGTGGTTCATATAGCTTCGGCTATCACTTCCTTTTGTCCGGTCGTGATGGTCAAGCGGATTAAGGCGTCCCTGTACATACCAGTTGTGGGAGTATGGGTTCGAGTCACTTCTGGGGTGTGAGTTTTCAGTTGTATATAGTCCTGGGGACCATTCAGGCTTGTTTGCATTTGTGTTCCTCACGTGTGCCCCAAAGAATGAGGTGATTTGATAAAATGCTATGCCCAAGATTACCATCCGAGTGCCGGCGGGGAAGTGGTTCATATAGCTTCGGCTATCACTTCCTTTTGTCCGGTCGTGATGGTCAAGCGGATTAAGGCGTCCCTGTACATACCAGTTGTGGGAGTATGGGTTCGAGTCACTTCTGGGGTGTGAGTTTTCAGTTATATATATATATATATATATATATATATATATATATATATATATATATATATATATATATATATATATATATAAGAGTGTGGAGAGTAGAGTGTAGAGGTCAGAGAGTAGAGTGTAGAGAGTAGAGTGTGGAGAGCATAGAGCAGAGTGTAGAGAGTAGAGTGTGGAGAGTAGAGTGCAGTGTGTAGAGTGTTAAGGGTAGAGTGTGGAGAGTAATGTGAGGAGAGTAGAGTGTAGAGTGTTAAGAGTAGAGAGTAGAGTTTAGAGAGCAGAGTGTGGAGAATAGCGTAGAATCTACAGGGTAGAGTGTGGAGAGTAGAGTGTAGAGTATAGAGAGTAGAGTGCAGAGAGTAGAGTGTGGAGAGTAGAGAGTAGAGAGTAGAGTGTGGAGAGTAGAGTGTGGAGAGAAGAGTGTGGAGAGTAGAGAGTAGAATGTTAAGAATAGAGTGTAGAGTGTAGATAGAAGAGTGCAGAGAGTAGAGAGTAGAGTGTGGGGAGTAGAGTGTTGAGAGAACTGTGTGGAGAGTAGAGTGTAGAGTGTAGAGTGTAGAGAGTAGAGTATGGAGAGTAGAGTGTTAAGAGTCGAGTGTAAAGTGTAGAGAGAAGAGTGTTAAGAGTAGAGTGTAGAGAGTAGAGTGTTTAGAGTAGAGTACGGAGAGTGTAGAGTGTAGAGTGTAGGGAGTAGAGTGTAGAGAGTAGAGTGT